TTTCACCGTGGCGCAGCTGCACAAAGTGTTCTTGGCCATCGACACTGCCGCCGCGGCCATCAACGGCGGGGCGCGCCATGCCGACGCCAGAGGCGGCGAGGATCCCCCCTCGAGCAGTCCAGCGGCTCCGGCGGCCTCCAAGCATCCACAGGATCATATCGTCTTCTACGCAGTGGCTCTACCTGATGGATCCCAAGGGAGACGAGTGAAGTGCAACAAATGCGGCCGATCTGGTTTGAGCACCTCCAACAGCATGCTGCACGATTTCTGGCTGAAGGAGTGCAGGAGCACAGGGCGCATTGGCGACGAGCGGGCACGGCCTACCACATCGCTGAACAACATCGACAGGAGGTGGGCTTTAGCCAAACTGAAATTTCAGCGTTTCGTTGACCAGCTCGGCGAGTGCCACCAGCACCCTTTGCAATGGTCATGAGAGAGGTATGCCCCTGCGACCTGTAGTCGATGCAATTGGGTCGTCACCCTGTTCCCTATCATAGCTCGTAACACCGATGAGTGGCGCAAGCATGTACTCGTGTGCCCGGGCCACAAGCGAGCAGCTGCAGATCATTTAGAGACTGCCAAGACATGGGTGCATAAACTATAATGCGCAGCCCCGCAACGGGGCAAAACATGCTTTTGAATTGCTCGGCAATGTTCACCACTGCACGAAGTGTGCGCCGTATTTCTCGTCCGTCCCCCGTGAGAGCTTCCGGAGGTGTCTCAGCCCTGTGGGTCCGCCGAGCCCAACACACCGTGGTACAGCGCTCTGGTCCACTAGAAGGCAACAGGCATCAGACTGGCGGATGGCGCGAGGGTTGCGTACTCTCCGTAAACTTCCTGGCTCATATTCTCTGTGTGTGTGTCTGTGTCGTCTTCTCCGTCGTGTTCCTGGCTCTAACTTGATTTCGCGCAGTTTCTGGTCGATGTCACGTTGTTTGGGGTCAATTTCAGATTGTAGTCGATTTCGCGCAGTTTGTGGTCGATGTCACGCGGGTTGTTGTCAATTTTACGCAGTCCGTGGTCGACTTCACGCAGTTTGTGGTCGATATCACGTTGTGTGTGGGGAATTACGCGTTGTTTGTGGCGAATTTCAAGCAGTTTGTGGTCGATTTCACGCAGTTTGTAGTCAATTTCATGGAGTTCGTGGTGAACTTCACGCTGTCCGTGGTCGATTTCAAGCAGTTTGTGGTCGATTTCACGTTGTTTGTGGTTAATTACGCGCAGTTCGTGGTGATTTTCACGTTGTGAGTGGTAGATGTCGCGCAGTTCGTGGTCAATGCCACGCTCTTCTTCGTAAGCCTCATTGTGTGCTTCTTTTGGTGCGTGTCCTGCTTCTTCCTCCTCGTCTTCTTCTACTTTGCCTTATTCTTCGGAGTATTTGTGGTGATGCCGATCATCTTGATGACGTTGGTGATGCGAATGATGGCGATGCTGATGATGTTTGCGATGATGATGATCATCATGGCCATGATCATCAAGATGCTGTTGATGATTGCGGTTGTTTTGGTAAGATGCTGATCATGATGATGGTTGTGATCCTGACGGTCATGATCATGATGATATGATGATTCTTATGCTGGTGTCTATATGCGATGATGATGATAATGCTGATGATGATGCGGATTATGATGACAGTGATGAGGATGATGATGGAATTGATGATTATGATTGCGATGACGATGACGATGACGATGATGATGATGAAGGTGATGGTGATGGTGATGCTGATGATGATCATGATGATGATGATGATGGTTGTGGTGGTGGTGATGATGAGGTGGCGGTGGTGGTGTTGATGATGGTGATGGTGATGATGATGATGATGGTGACGATGATGATTATGATGATGATGCTGATGCTGATGATGATGACGTTGACGACGATGATGATGATGCTGCTGATGATGCTGATGATGCTGATGCTGATGATGATGATGGTGATGGTGATGGTGATGATGATGGTGGTGATGATGGGGGTGTTGACGATGACGATGATAATGCTGATGATGATGCTAACCATGATCATGATTACGATTATGATGACGGTGATGATGACGATGATGCTCATGGTGTTGATGATGCTGATAATGTTGATGATGGTGTTGGTGGTGGTGGTGATGATGATGGTGATGATGATGATGGTTGTGTTGATGATGGTGGTGTTGATGATTATGATGTTGGTGATGATGATCATGATGATGGTTATGGTGATGGTGGTGCTGATGATGATGATGATGATGATGATGATGCTTATGCGGCTGCTGATGCGGATGCTCATGATGATGACGATGATGATGATGCTGCTAATGATGATGTTGATGCTGATGGTGATTCTGATGCTGATGCTGATGCTGATGCTGATGCGCACGCTGATGCTGATACGCATGCTGATGATGCTGATGCTGATGCTGATGCTGATGAGGATGAGGATGAGGATGAGGATGAGGATGCGGATAAGGATGCGGATGATGATGCTGGTGATGATGCTGGTGCTGATGATGAGGATGATGAGGATGATGATGAGGATGATGAGGATGATGATGAGGATGAGGGTGATGATGATGATGACGATGAGGATGATGATGACGATGACGATGACGATGACGGTAATGATGATGATGATGATGATGATGATGATGATGATGGTGATGATGATGATGATGGTGATAATTATGTTGATGATGAATCTCATGATAATGCTGATGATGGTGCTGATGGTGATGATGGTGATGATGGTGATGGTGATGATGATGATGTTGATGATGATGATTATGATAATGATGATGCTGATGATGACCATGATGCTGATGACGATGCTGATGATGATGATGGTGATGATGATGGTGATGATGATGGTGATGATGATGATGATGCTGATGATGATGGTGATGATGATGATGCTGATGCTGATGCTGATGCTGACCTGCCCACCTCCGTCCGCTTCCCTCCTTGCCTCCCTCTCCTCGCTCTCCTGCCCTGCCCTCCCGTATCCTCCCACGCTGCCTCTCCCTTCCGTGAGGAGGAGGAAAAGGAGGGGGATGATGATGATGCTGTTGATGATGATGATGACGATGATGTTGATGGTGATGATGCTGATGATGATGATGATGATGGTGATGGTGATGGTGATGGTGATGGTGATGGTGATGATGATGATGATGATAATGATGCTGATGCTGCTGATGATGATGATGATTGATGATGATGCTGATGCTGATGCTGATTATGATGATGATGATGATGAAGATGATGATGATCATGATGATGATGATGCTGATGCTGATGCTGATGATGATGATGATGGTTATGGTGATGATGATGATGATGATGCTGCTGATGATGATGATGATGGTTATGGTGATGGTGATGGTGATGGTGATGGTGATGGTGATGGTGATGGTTGTAATGATGATGATGATGATGATGCTGATGCTGATGCTGCTGATGATGATGATGGTGATGGTGATGGTGATGATGATGCTGATGATGATGACGATGATGGTGATGGTGATGGTGATAGTGATGGTGATGGTGGTGGTGATTGTGATGGTGATGGTGATGATGTTGATGATGATGATGATGTTGTTGATGATGATGATGGTGGTGGTGGTGGTGGTGGTGATGATGATGATGATGATGATGCCGATGATTATGATGATGCTGATGCTGATGATGATGATGATGATAACGATGACGATGACGATGCTGATGATGCTGATGATGATGATGGTGATGGTGATAGAGATGGTGATGCTGATGCTGATGCTGATGCTGATGCTGATGCTGATGCTGATGATGATGATGATGATGATGATGATGATGATGGTGATGCTGATGATGATGATGATGATGATGATGATGAGGATGATGATGATGATGATGATGCTGATGATGATGATGGCGGCGGCGGCGGCGGCGGTGGCGGCTACGATGATTATGGCTTTCCATATGTGATGTGTCGCAGCCGCCTTTCTCCCCCTCCTCATCTCCCTTTCCGAGCACCCACCCCTTCTGTCTCGAGATGTCTTGCGGAGGGACGTGTGTTTCGTTCGCTCGCTTCGGCTGCGTCGCTGTCGGTTGTGTTCGGTCGTTTCGGCTTGGCTGCCTGCTGTGTCGTTGCTACGTCGCTGTGCGGAGCCCGGCGGCTTCAGTTTCGCAATCGGTTCGGTCGTTATTCGATGTCGGTGTCGCCGTGGACGACCCTCCGCCCAGGGGACCTATCCTCCTGCCTGTCTTTAGAAGAACTCGTGCCCAGGAGAGGAGGGGGAAGGCGCGGGGCGGCGCACGAGAGCAGGCGCCGCTCCCCTGGAACCGCCTCGGTAACAACCTGGCTCGAAGGAGGACTCGTGGCTCGGGCCAGCCTCGTGGCTCGAAGGAGGACTCGTGACTCGTGACTCCCTCCTCCTCCTCCTCCTCCTCCTCCTCCTCCTCCTCCTCCTCCTCCTCCCTCCTGGTCCTCCATTCCCTCCTTCCTCGCCGGAGGGGGAAGGAGGAGGAGGAGGAGGAGGAGGAGGAGGAGGAGGAGGAGGAGGGAGGAGGAGGAGCAGGGAGGATGAGGAAGTGGGGAGGGACCTTCCTCCTCCTCTTCCTCCTCCTTCTCCTCGTTTCTTTTGTTTTTCCATCCCCCCTCCTCACTCCACCAGCGCATGCTTGTATCTTTACCTTTGTGAGTGTCCCTCCAGCGACATGCTATCAGGAAAAAGTCCCCGTCGTCGTCGTCGTCGTCGTCGGTCGTCGATCGTCGTCGTCGTCGTCGTCGGTCGTCGTCGCTCGTCGTCGTCGCTCGTCGTCGTCGTCGTCGTCGTCGTCGTCGTCGTCGTCGTTGTGCGCGCGGTCGCTGTTGTGGCGCAGGAACCACACGGCGGGGGGTGGGGGCGTTACATTGTGCGCCCCCCCCGCCACCCGTCACGCCTGTGAGCGCCGCGAATGCCGAAGCGCGCCCTCTCAGGAACAAGTCTCTTCCCCCCCTCCTCCCCTCGTCCCCTGGCCACGGCCGCCCAGGGCCCGCCTACGCGTACCTGCTGATCGAGGCGATGTCCGACGGCGGGGTGCGCATGGGCCTGCCGCGCGCGACGGCGACGCGGCTCGCGGCGCGCCCCGCGGGCGGGGGAGGAGCGAGTCAGGGGAGGAGTCGTCGGCCAGGGCTGGACCTAACCGGGGTTTTCGCCATTTCGTGGGCCGTTTTCGTTTCGATTTCGTTTTGCGGTAGAGGCGGATTGAAGGCAAAACGAAAGAGAACGAAAACAAAACGAAAACGAAAAACACCGTTTAGGGTCAGCCCTGTCGTCGGCGGTGCGAGGGCGAGTCGAGGCAGGAGTACTCGGCGATGGGCAAGGGTTCTAGGCTTAAGCCGGGCCTGCCCCCCTACAGGAGGAATGTTCAAGCATAGTCAAACAAGAGTCAGGGGACGATTTTCTGAGCATTTGTTGGCCATGTTTCGAATATGTTTTGACTATTTTTGATAGTTCGTGCAACATCCCCCTGTAGGGGAACATGCCCGACCTAATTCTAGGCCTCCCAGATGGGGTCCGAGCAGATGGGGTCGGAGGATCGCCCCACACTGGAGTTGTCGGTGGTGCAAGGGCGAGTCGAGGCAGGTGTACTCGGCGATGCGCAAGGGTTCTAGTCCTCCAAGATGGTGTCCGAGCAGATGGGGTCGGAGGATCGCGCCGTATCGCCGATACACCGTCGATGCGGCTCGATGCGGAACCAGTTTTTTCCTATCCGATGTCGCCGATGTATCGCCGATATATTTCCGACGTCGCTGACGCATCGCCGATGTATCGGCGATAAGGCGCGATCCTCCGACCTCATCCACTCGGGCCCCACTTAGGAGGCCTCTGTTCAAGGCAGGAGTATTCGGCGATGTGCAAAGGTTATCTTTCGCCAGGGTGACCTTTGATGCTGGGCCACATGTGGCGCCTGGGGGCGCCCCTGTAGGACCCCAGAGGCTTCTGGAGGGTGTTCATGTTTTGTGGGGGTGGCGCCCCCCACCGCAGCGCACCTAAGGTCATCATTGGCAAAAGGTCATCACTGGCGAAGTTCGTCCAGGGCATCGGTCGCGACATCGCGCCGCAAGGTCACCCCGACAGCTCCGAGGTGGACGGGAGCGTGGACTCGGATCCCTGGGGAGCGTGGACTGGGACTCCCACCGCAAGCTCGGCTCGCGGGCACGGCAGAGCCCGATACCTCGCTCGAGGGCGCGGGCGCAAGCAGTGGCGACACGCACGGCAAGAAGCCGCTGGCTGGCTGGCGGCGGCGGCGACGCGCGTGTGGCTGGCCGCTCGGCGAGGCTCGGGCTTCCGTCGCAGGCCTGTCCGCCCGAGTGCCTCTCGGCGGCGGGCAAGGCCGATTCACCCGTGCTCACCCGCGGCCTGCGACGGGCATCTATCTGCCTTTCTCCGGGGCGGCCTCACGAGGGTGCAGAGGTTGGGCGACCCGGGCACGGCCTCCCGGGCGGCCCCGCGGGCAGTGATCGCGGTCGGGGCCGCGCGGCCAGCCGCACGGGCTGACGCGGCCCGCGGCGCGCTGCCCGGCAGGGCGGCCCTCGTGGCAGCGCGCGGTCAGAGGCGGATTCCAGGCCGCGTCGATGCGGCGGCGACCTTGCTGAGCACGACATCCGAGCTTCGGTCTTGCTGAGCACGACATCCGAGCATGCGGGTGCCGAGACGCGCCCTCGGCGAGAAGCTCGAGCCAGCCCGAGAGAACCGAGTCAGCATGAGCTCGAGTTCGACTTTCACACAAGCGAGTGTTTCCGGACATCGAATACAGTCGGCCCGCATTAGTAGGTCGACCCTGCCAAATCAAGGGTACCTTTGTGTCCTGTGCCTCGCGACCCGTGCCTCCTGCATTCCTATGGCAGTGTGGCCTTCGGAAGGGTCTTTTGTCCTCTCGCGTGTCCTGTCCAATGAAGTCCGACTGTACGACTTCCAAAAGTTACGCAGTTTTCTCAGGCCGATTCGAGCATCCAGCGGCGTGCGGCAGGTCCCGCCGCCGTGCCAGCCCGGGCTTTCAGGGTGGTGACCGTTCGAGGGGGCACGGGATACCGTCACGTGTGGTAGGTTTCTTCGTGTATCAGGCTTGAGACTTTGATGGCGACGGCGACGATGACGACGACAGCATCGACGACGAAGGCGACGACGACCACGACGACGATGCTGCTGCTGCTGACGACGACGATGGTGTTGATGATGATGATGATGATGATGATGACGATGATGATGTTGAACGTGATGATGCTACTGCTGATGCTGCTTCTGCTGATGATGATGCTGATGATGGTGTTGATGGTGATGGTGAGGGTGATGCTGATGATGATGACGACGACGATGACGATGTCGGTGCCGTTCCATTATTGAGTATTAATACCATTGTTGTTACTATTATACAGTCATTAAATTATGTTGTTATTGGCATTATGGCCGTGATGTTGCTGCTGCTGATGGTGATGATGACGATGATGATGATGCTACTGAGGATGAGGATGATACTGAGGAGTAGGATGATATTTATGTTGCTGTTGCTGCTGGTGGTGGTGATGATGAGGATGTTGACGTTGACGCTGATGCTGATGCTGATGCTGATACTGATGCTGCTGATGGAGGTTGTGATGAGGATGCTGACGTTGCCACTGATGCTGATGCTGATGCCGATGATCATGCTGATGATTCTTCTGATGAGGATGATGATGACGACGATGACGATGACGATAACGTTGATGATGATGATGATGATGATGAGGGTGCTGGTGATGTGGATGATGCTGATGATGACGCTGAGGATGCTAATCATGATGCTGATGATGATGCTGATGCTGATGCTTTTGCGGATGATGATGCCGCTTATGATGATGATGATGTTGATGATGAAGATTATGATGATGTTGATGATGATGCTGCTGATGAGGATGCTGCTGTCTCTGCTTCCGCTGCTGATGATGACGAGTTTGATGATGCTAATGATGATGACGATGATGACATGATGAGGATGGTAAGGTTAATGATGCTGGTGTGATGCTGGTGGTAATGACTGTGATCATGATGATGATGCTGATTATGATGCTGATGATCCTGCTGGTGCTGATGCTGATGCTGATGCCGATGATGCTGATGATGCTAATGATGACGATGCTGATGATGCTGATGCTGATGCTGCTGCCTCTGCTGCTGCTGTTGCTGCTGCTTCTGATGATGATGGTGATGATGCTGATGACTATGATGCTGATGATGCTGATAATGATGATGATGATGATGATGATGATGATGAGGATGATGATGATGATGATGCTGATGATGATGATGATGATGCTGATGCTGATGATGATGATGATGATGATGATGATGATGATGATGATGCTGATGATGATGATGCTGATACTGATGATGATGATGAAACTCGTTCGGGCCGTCCTGGGGCTGTCTTGGCCTCCTGTGAGGCAGTCTTGGGGGTACCTTGGGGCCCTCTTGGGCCGTCTTGAGTCCCTCTTACGCCGGCCTGGGGCTCTCTTGGGCCCTCTGGCGGCCCTCTTAGCCGTATTGTGGGTGGGTGTTGGGGGATCGTCGTGGGGCCGTCTGGGCGCCGTCTTGAGCCGTCGAAGGGCCTTCTACGGCCGTCCTGGGTCCCACGGGAGGTCCTCTTTTGGCCGTCTTGGGGCAGTCTTGGATGCCTATTGGGATATCGTGGAGGCTTTTGGACCGTCTTTAGCAGACGTCATGACTCAATGCTCGCCAGCCTTGGGGCTATCTTTGGCCGTCTTCGAGGCATCTTCGGCTCTCTTGGTGTCATTGGTTGCCTGCACGGGCCGTCTTGGAAGCTCGGGACGTCTATCCATAGTTGTTTTGCGAGGGGCTGTTGATTGGGAGGCCTTTGAGCGATTGGTAGCAGCGCCTGGGAATGTGGGAAGTGCACGATCCTCGATCGGGTGCACGTGTGATGAGGGACCTAGGAGTTAGCAGCCATGCAGAAAGTGCACAATCCTTTGGCTGGCGCGCATGTAACGAGGGTTCAGGCATTATCTGTCATGCGGGAAGTGCGCCATGCTCGAGCGGGCACGCATGGAATGGGGTTCTCACGCATTAGCTGCCATGCAGGAAGTGCACCATGCTCGAGCGTGCTCGCGTGCAATGGAGGTTCGGCAGTAGCTGCCATGCTGGAAGTGCACTCTCTCCGAGCGGAGCACGAGGCAAGTGGCCTCGGTGAGTAGGTGGGGATGCACGCAAGAGTCGGAGGGCAGAGGGAGGGGCGGTCCCTTCTCATAATTGAAACATCCTGCCAGTCAGACCTTGACATTCTTCCACCAGGGCTCGACCTAAACGGTGTGTTGGCGATTTCGTGTGCCGCTTTCGTTTTGATTCCGTTTTGCGGTAAAGGCGGGTTGAAGACAAGACGAGGGAAAACGAGGCCAACACGAGCATGAAATCCACTGTTTTGGTCCAGCCTTGTCTTCCACGCCCCAACGTGCCAGGGTCCAGGAGTAGCGGTATCAGTACTTGTTGGTTTCCTCAGCAGCGCCACCGAGGCACTAGTGCCAAGTAACGGGTGTTTTCGGAGTTCGCCAAGAGAAGATTTGGGGGGCGGCAATCATGGCCGATACCATGACACCTTCCTGATTTCGTGGCCCCCTCTTATGTTTTCAGAACATCCCTTGGCCTCCCCATCCGTCCGCGCATATGCCTCGGTCCATGATTTGCTAATCCTCCTCACGGACGCCCCCGTCTTGGACGCCTCGAGTGTTCTGACAGCGCACAGGAATGTGTCATGAAAGTGACAGGACTGCGCCAGTTCCGTGCGGGATGGTTCAGGACGGTGGCAGGAAATTGCTAGTAGTTGCTGATCAGGGTTGCGCTGAGAGCCTGGGGAGTGCATGTTGAGAGGCTCCCTCGGTGAGGGTTTACCCCTCATCTCCACCGTCGACGACGGTCCGAGTGTTCCTTCGGGGTGTCAGGCGCAGACGGTCATGGGCGCTGGGAAGATGGTCATGGAGACCGGGAAGCACCCTGGAGAGCTGAAGGACGCGCAAGGGAGCCAGGAAAGAGGAAGGAGGGCGGAACGAGGAGGGGTGCGGTGGAGGGCGGGAGGGAGGGACGGAGAGGGAAGAGCGAAGAGGCACGGGGAGGGCGGGAGGCTCCGGAGGTCACCGTTGGGCCCCGTGGCCGTCAAACAGCTGCCTGGGATGGAAAGGCCGCCGCGGGAAGGGCTCGAGAAGTCGGGGGCCAATGGCTCGAACAACTCGAGCTGCCGCTGCCAGAGGCCTGGGTCGCCTTCCCCTCCTGCGGCCCCCTCCCGCCAGCACCACCCGTGTCTGCCCTGCCCACCTCCGTCCGCTCCCCTCCCTGCCTCCCTCTCCTCGCTCTCCTGCCCTGCCCTCTCGTATCCTCCCACGCTGCCTCCCCCTTCTGTCAGGAGGAGGAAGAGGAGGGGGATGATGATGATGATGATGATGATGATGATGATGATGATGATGATGATGATGCTGCTGATGATGATGATGATGATGATGATGATGATGATGATAACGATGATGATGCTGATGATGCTGATGATGCTGATGATGATGATGCTGATGATGATGATGATGCTGATGATGATGATGGTAACGATGATGATGCTGATGATGCTGATGATGCTGATGATGATGATGCTGATGATGATGATGCTGATGCTGATGCTCATGATGATGATGATCATGATGATGATGATGATGATGATGATGATGATGATGATGATGATGATGATGATGATGATGATGATGATGATATGGTGATGATGATGGTGGTGGTGATGAGGATGATGACGATTATGATGAGGAGGAGGAGGAGGAGGAGGCGGAAGAGGAGGAGGAGGAGGAGGAGGCGGAGGAGGCAAAGGACGCTCCAGCCTGGAAGCTGAAGTCTGCCCAACGTGCACAGAAGAGGAGGAGAGTTGAGGAGGAGGAGGAGAAGGATGAGGAGGAGGAGGAGGAGGAGGAGGAGGAAGACCAGTGTAAACCCAAAACTCGTCAACGATGTTGGAACAATCCCTCCCTCCACTGAGGGAACTGCGTCGTTGGCAGACGACTGTTTGAAGACCTGAAGCATGCAAAAAACTATTATCGGGACTCCGACGCCACGGATCAACCTGACTGCCTCGTCTTGACGATCTTGAATCGTGCCATAACTCCATTCCTGGGACTTCGACACCGTGTATCAACCTAGCTGTTGCACCCCCACAATTCTCAATCCTTCCAAATCACCGTGTCTGGTACGTTGACCTTGGGAATCCGCGAAACTCTTGCAATTTGCGTAAGCGAATGTGCGCGGCGCTTAGGCGAGAGCCACAATTTGAAAACGAACCGCCCTCAATCAGTGAAGCTCTTGCGCCGTTTTCAACGAACGTGAGCGGCGCAAAGGCGAGAGCCACATTTTGAAACCACCCGCCGCGGCCCGCCCTCAACCCGCGAAATTCTCTGCCAATGTTTAAACGAATGTTCGCGGCGCTTAGACGAGAGCCACATTTTGAAAAACCGCCCGCCCTCCATTTGTGAAGCTGTCGCCAATGTGTAAGCTTCAGGGTCATCAGTGGTGAGGAATTCTCAGGCGAAACACTCGGCCCGCCCTTGCGACTAGCCGAGGCGTGCGACGGGGATGAGTTGTTCATAAGGAAGAGGAATGGAGGAGGAGGAGGAGGAGGAGGAGGAGGAGGAGGAGGAGGAGGAGGAAGAGGAGGAGGAGGAGGAGGAGGAGGAGGAGGAGGAGGAGGAGGAGGAGGAGGAGGAGAGGAGGAGGAGGGGAGGAGGAGGAGCAGGAGGAGGAGGAGGAGAAGGGGAGCAGGAGGAGGAGAGGAGGCGGAGGAGGAGGAGGAGGAGGAGGGCTGGAGGAGCCCCTGAAGGAGGAAGAAGAGGAGGAGGAGGAGGGGGATGAGGATGAGCAGACGGTCCCTTGAGGCCTCCAGAGGCTTGTGGAGACCCAGAGGGGCGGGGAAGAATGCGGACCTGAGGGAAGCGGGTCTTGGACGCTGGAGCTGCCCCCCAGACCAGCACTTCTCAGCCACGCGCAGAAGGGGGGGTAGCCAGAGCAGGAAAATGTACCCACGCTGCTGCCTTTCCCTCGTTTTTACCTTTTTTGGCCTCCTGGGAGGCCCTCGTCGCCACCGCTAGATTCGCTTCGGAATTCTGGTCAGAAGGAAACCCTGGAGAGGTTCGGGGAGTAGCGGTATCGGTACCTTTTGGTTTCCCCAGGGGTGGTAGGGGGAGGGGGGAAGGCTTCTTAGAAGCACCCCTGCTTCTTAGAAGGCGCGTGCCTTGTCTGTTGATGTAAGGCCGGGGCCTTCCAAGAAGCAGCTTCTTTCTGAGAAGGTTTCCCCTCCCCCCTACTCCCCTGTGCGCGCCGCCTAGCTGGGGCTGCCCCACAGACCAGCACTTCATCCTGAGCCGTTTTGGTCGGGGCCCAGGGATGGCCTGGAAGAGGCCGACAGTGACGAAAAACCTCGACCATGTTCCAGACATCCGACGATTTGATGCAAGAGGCTTGCGCCATTCCGACGACCCTCAGAAGAGGCTGGGAGGCCACAGTTGAGGCGTCGTGGGCTTCTTGGGCACTATCTGGGGACTCTGGTGGGCGTCTTTGGGACCTGTTTTGGGGCCTGGCCGAGCCTCTTGGATGCAGTTTTGAAGCGTCGTGGGAGCCGTTTGGGGGCCTCTCCTGTGCCTCTTGGGGGCCTCTTGGGCTTATTGGGGGCCTCTTTTGGGCCGTTGTGGGGCTTCTTGTGATTTCAGGAGGGCTTCTTGGGGCAGGACGATCGGGACCTTCGGATATTTTTCTCCAGTGGCCTTTCTTGGGGCCCTCTTGGGGCGATCTTTGGCCGTGCTGGGCCTATCTTTAGGCCGTCTTGGGACCCTCTTCGGCCGTCCTGGGGCCCTCGTGGGGGCCTCTTGGGTATATTTGCGTCGCTCTCCAGGGCCTCTTGGGCCGTCTTGGAGCTTCGGCAGCTCGAGAAGACGATACCCCTAGAACAATAAAAACAACCTGAGAAACCTGAGGGCCACCCTTGTTTTTTTGACTCTCGGGGCCCTCTTGGGCAGGCTCTTGAGTCTCTCGGGCCTCTCTTGGGGCGTCTGGAAGGCGTCTTGGGGCGTCTCGGAGCCATTGCAGGCGTCTTGGGCCAGTCGTCCGGCGATTCGCGACCGTCTTGGCACGTTTTTGAGGCTACAACTCCGAAGCGTCTGGGAGTGCGCAGAGGAGTTCGCGTACACCCCTCCCCCGCAAGCCAGATTTTGGATCCTGGGGGAGGGGACCGGGGAGTCGGACAGGGCTAGGACGAGGATAAATCGGTTGCAGAGCGTTCCAGAACGCTCTCAGAGCGTTCCAGAACGCTCTGAGAAGACCGCGGCGCCCGATACATCTTCCAGAGCCGCCAGATCTCAGAGATTCTCGCTTTCTTCTCACCCGAATTGATCCTCGTCCTGGCTTCGTCTTGGGGGACAGCCAACCATCTCACACGCCTTCTCACCCCGGCAAGCGGGGGTCGGCGGATTTTCCCATACGCATTGCGCGCGAACCTCAGTATCACGCGGCTGGTATCATGGACGGGGGGGCGTTGTGGCCAGAGCCTCGCAGGCAGTCCAGCCGCGGCGACGACACGCTTGCCAGAGGCCTCAGAAGGGCAGAGATTTTCTCGAGGCCTCCAGCCTCGAGCCTCGAGTTCTCGGCTCCTTTCACTCGCGGGCCCCTCTGTGCCGAGCCAGCGAGGACGCCGTGACCTCCCCCGGGGGCACCACGATCGCCGGCGTCCACGCCCTGGAGGCGGGCTGCTTCCGGGGGACCGCCATCAACGCCGTGGAGGCGGCCGCGAAGCGGTCGCAGGACGGCCCCCCGCTTTCCCCCGTGCGGAGCCAGCTGCGCCCCTGGGGGTCGCTGATCGTCGGAGGTCCCACGTTTTCCGCTTTTTAGGCCTCCTGGGAGGCCCTCGTCGCCTCCGCTGGATTCGCCTCGAAGTTCTGGTCAGAACGCACCCCAGGAGAGGCCCGTGGAGAAGCGGTATGGGTGCCTTTTGGTTTCCCCCCAGCGCGGGGTCCGATGGGCGCCTCCCTGGGACCTCGGGCGGGTTGATTTGCTCAGCCCCGGCCTTTTCCCTGGGTGTCGGCCTCCAGGGATGGGGATATTGGGAGAACTGCAGAACTGCGGCCGGTGGGTCCAGGGCGAGTCGTGCCGAGATTCGCGTATCGAGATTACAGTTTTTTTTGTGTTGCGGCTTGAGTCCCCCCGAGTCCAGTCCTGCTCCTTCCGGAGAAACTCGTCCTGGAGCTTGTGTCCTTTAGTTTTCATGCCTCTGGGGATTTTCCTGAGCCCCAGAACTGTCAAACCACGACTCAGCATGATGAGCGGGCTGGGGAAAACCCTGGTGCCCAGGGCCCATGCTCATTTGATGTTTTTCTCCTGCATGCCCTGCTCCCCAGACCCCCCGCGCTGTTACTGTTTTTAGCAGACCATGACAGAAGATGTTGTTTTGATGTTTTCGGCCTCTGGGGGGCCCTTTCCCAGTCAGCACCGTTAAGACACGATGCGGGATGTCGAGCTAGTGTCGGGGAAGGGGTCTAGATCTCGGGGGATCAGTTTTGGGGCTCAGGAAGTCGGACTCTGTTCACGTGTTCAGGGCCCTCCCTTCTGCACGGGCACTCCCAAATTCGATGAAACAACGTCATGGGCCTGGCTTGAACAGAGATAAGATTGGGGGGAAATGCTGCTGCCCCCGTGGTCGTTGCTCGCGGCCACTGCGACAATCTGGTCTGCTTTCTTATGGAGCCTCCTCCCTGGGCATGTGTGTTATGGGGAAGCAGAAACCATTGAACATTGAATTGTGCCTTACTGTTTATGGTCTCCGGGGTGCCCTGCTGGCTCCCTTACACCCGGCTAGCTTTTCTGGGAGCCATGACGCCCGGACCTCTCGACCGCTTCTGGCACGAACGGAATGAGTACGAGAAGGCTGAGGACAAAGACCGACAGCATCTCTTCACCATTTTGAACGGGGCTCGCTGTGAGTGCCGCCGCGGGCGTTGTCCATCCAAGACAGGAGGCCGCCTGCACGACAGCGGCCGCTGGCTTTTTGGGACCAAATCTGCTGCTGGGCACGGTACGCATGGTTCTCCGTACCCATCTCGGGCGTCCAGATCGTTCCCCGAGTCCGGGTTTTTATCCCGAGCCGTCTCTTAGACAGGGCCCGACCTGAACGGTGTGTTCTGACGATTTCGTGAACCGCTGTGATTACATCCTGCAGCAAGGGAGAAACGCAGACCGAACGAGGGGACACGACGACAGCACGAGAACGACTGCTTCTAGATGGCCTTGGTGCCCGAGGCCGACCCCGGGGGTCTCGACTTCTTGCGAGCCGCCGGATGCCTGGGCTGCGTGGCCTCGCAGCGACTTCCCTGGGCCTCGGGCGGCCTCTTGGCAGCACGTCTGGGCCAGAGGGGGCCGTGCTGGTGGCGTGGGCGGCCGTCATTTCGAGCTTTCCTTCTGTGGCCAGGGGAGACGTCAGGGGGGGTGGCGTTCCAGACGATGCGCGGGGACCCAGTCCTCCCGCGTATTGTTGGGTTGTTCGTGTGTGTGTGTGTGGTTTCGTTGTTTTCATGCTGTTGTTCCCAACCATCCTGTGGTGTTGGGTCCTCGTTTTGAAGAGACGTCGCCCCGCGTTCCTCCTTCCTCCTCCTTCCTCCTCCTCCCCTTCCTCCCCCCTCCTCCCCCTCCCACACCCATTCTGGCACACCCCTCACACGTTTCGTGGCCCCATAGGGAGCTCCACCGAAGGCCCCAGTGGCTGCGCCCGCATGCGGTTCCACCCCCCATTCTGGCACACCCCTCACACGTTTCGTGGCCCCATAGGGAGCTCCACCGAAGGCCCCAGTGGCTGCGCCCGCATGCGGTTCCACCCCCCATTCTGGCACACCCCTCACACGTTTCGTGGCCCCATAGGGAGCTCCACCGAAGGCCCCAGTGGCTGCGCCCGCATGCGGTTCCACCCCCCATTCTGGCACACACACGACCCCCCATTCTGGCACACCCGTTTCGTGGCCCCATAGGGAGCTCCACCGAAGGCCCCAGTGGCTGCGCCCGCATGCGGTTCCACCCCCCATTCTGGCACACCCCTCACACGTTTCGTGGCCCCATAGGGAGCTCCACCGAAGGCCCCAGTGGCTGCGCCCGCATGCGGTTCCACCCCCCATTCTGGCACACCCCTCACACGTTTCGTGGCCCCATAGGGAGCTCCACCGAAGGCCCCAGTGGCTGCGCCCGCATGCGGTTCCACCCCCATTCTGGCACACCCCTCACACGTTCCGTGGCCCCATAGGGAGCTCCACCGAAGGCCCCAGTGGCTGCGCCAGCATGCGGTTCCACCCCCCATTCTCGGCACACCCCTCACACGTTTCGTGGCCCCATAGGGAGCTCCACCGAAGGCCCCAGTGGCTGCGCCCGCATGCGGTTCCACCCCCCATTCTGGCACACCCCTCACACGTTTCGTGGCCCCATAGGGAGCTCCACCGAAGGCCCCAGTGGCTGCGCCCGCATGCGGTTCCACCCCCATTCTGGCACACCCCTCACACGTTTCGTGGCCCCATAGGGAGCTCCACCGAACGCTCCAGTGGCTGCGCTCGCATGCGGTTCCACCCCCCATTTCGGCACACCCCTCACACGCTTCGTGGGTGGCTCCATGGGAGCTCCACCGAACGCCCCAGTGGCTGCGCTCGCATGTGGTTTCCCCCCCATTTCGGCACACCCCTCACACGGTTCGTGGCCCCATAGGGAGCTCCACCGAAGGCCCCAGTGGCTGCGCTCGCATGCGGTTCCACCTCCTTTCTTCGGCACGCCTTTCACACGTCTCGTGGCCCCATAGGGAGCTCCACCGAACGCCGCAGTGGCTGCGCTCGCATGCGGTTCCACCCCCCTTTTCGGCACACCCCTCACACGTTTCGTGGCTCCATAGGGAGCTCCACCGAAGGCCCCAGTGGCTGCGCTGGCATGCGGTTCCACATCACATTCTGGCACACCCTTCGCACGTTTCGTGGCCCCATAGGGGGCTCCACCAAAGGTCCCAGTGGCACTGCCCGCTTGCGTCCGCCACCACCCAGCACAGCCCTTGTTCCCTGCGCTTCACCCACCCACAACAGCGCTTCGTAGCCCTATAGGGAGCTCCACCAAAGGTCCCAGCGGCACCGCCCGCATGCGTCCGCCACCACCCTGCGCAGCCCTTGCTCCCTGCCTGCGTTTCACCCACCCAGTACATCGTTTTGTGGCCCCATAGGGAGCTCCACCGAAGGTCCCAGGGGCACCGCTCGCCTGCGTCCGCCACCACGCAGCACAGCCCTTGCTGACCTCGTCCCACCCACCCAGTACAGCGTTGCGTGGCCCCATAGGGAGCTCCACCGACGGTCCCAGTGGCACCGCCCGCATGCGTCCGCCACCACCCAGCACAATTGCGGCATTCACAACTGCATATGGTTGGGTCCTTCGCCAGGCGAATTGCTGTTGTTTTTGTTCCTCAACCGACAGGTTGTGGTCGTTAGACTTGAAGAGCAGATCATCCGACCCGTCCACTCTGCATACCGCGACCGCCAGATCCCCAGGTCCCCCGAGTGTGCCCGAGAGTCCCGTCTCGCGCCACTCTGCATACCGCGGCCGCCAGATCCCCAGGTCCCCCGAGTTTCCCCGAGAGTCCCGCCTCGCGCCGACCAATCAGAACATGCTTCAACGGCCATAGCACAGCAGAACAGAGTACAGCACACCAATATAAGCTATGCCACAATCTAGCATAATACCGTACCACATAACATAACATATCCGATCCTATCATACGAAACCATGCCACACCATATCGTAACATGCCACACCATGACACAGCAGTGTATACCATAACACAACCTCACAGCGTACATCATTACACATGCCATGACAAATCAAGCAACCCATAGTAAACCAACGCATAACTGCACATACAGCATACCATACCATATCAGATCATGGCACAACGCAGCATACCAGCGCATGCTATGGCATATCGGAGAATCCATACCATAGCATATCGGAGCATGCCATGCCAGATCATGGTATATCATATCATACCATAACATGTCATGGCATACGCCACCACAACATGACACAACATCATCGCACCGATAGCATGACATGTAGCATCGCATAATATATGACACGTCATACCATGACAGAGCGCGGCATGATATGCAACATCGTACACTAATACGGCATGTCATACTACACACGATTTGACCGACTGACCCATGCAGAACAGAGCATAGCACCACACCTCGTAACATACCAAACCAGATCATATCATAACATATCATGACATCACGCAACATTATCATACCATCACATGGCGGGTCATATCACACAGTATAACAGCATCAACATACATCGCATTCAATTGCATGTAAATCCCGACTTGCGCACCGTCGCGAACACGCGCCGAAGGTTTCGGTGGTAGTCGCTCGAAGCCTTTTTGTTGTTGTTGTTGTTGTCGTTGTTGTTTTTTGTTTTGCAGCCGTAATAGTCGTAGTAGTCGTAGTAGTCGTAGTAGTCGTAGTAGTAGTAGTAGTAGTAGTAGTAGTAGTAGTAGTAGTAGTCGTAATAGTCGTAGTCGCCGTAGTAGTCGTAGTAGTCGTGGTAGTAGTAGTAGTAGTAGTAGTAGTAGTAGTAGTAGTAATAGTAGTCGTAGTCGTAGTAGTAGTAGTAGTAGTAGTAGTAGTAGTAGTAGCTGCAGTAGTAGTAGTAGTAGTAGCAGTAGTAGCAGTAGTAGTAGTAGTAGTAGTAGTAGTAGTAGCAGTAGTAGTAGTAGTAGTAGTAGTAGTAGTAGTAGTAGTAGTAGCAGTTAGTAGTAGTAGTAGTAGTAAGTAGTCGTAGTAGTAGTAGTAGTAGTAGTAGTAGTAGTAGTAGTAGTA